TATATATATATATATATATACCACGAAAGGTGACAGGGAGCAAAAGGTTGGTTTTCCTACAAGCCTATGACAGAGGGGACTTATATGAAGTTTAGATTAAGCACTTATTGTACAAGGAAACCCAGATCAAATAATGATGAGAAAAGTAGTGCGATCGCATAGTTGATGCATCGTATCGCTCCGAATTCCAAACTAAATCTTCCACTTGCCACGTTCATCGGTAGTATGAGAGGACGCGGTTTTAAATACTGTCTTAAACGTTAGTAACCCTGTTTACAACACGTTTTGGCCATTATCGGTGCCTAGCTGCCCTGCCATCCAAAGGAAGCACGAGGGCTGAGGTAATGCTAGGTTGCCCAAGCCTACACAGGGGCGCTTGAGATACAGAGTTTGGGTTCGAACTGTGGACTTTCCGAGTAAGTTTGCACCTTAATAACTGAGCTATCGGTAATTCCGAGACTGCCGATCAGTGCGTCATTTTCACTAGAGGCCGAGATAGCCCGATGTCTAAGGCGGGAACTCGCTGGTTGGAAGGTCCGTGGTTTAAATCCAACCTTGGCATCTCTACTGCTCTTGTTTAAGATTAAGAAACCCAGCAGTATCCCAGCCCTTGTGCTCCCTTCCGGTTGCACGGCAGATATGCACCGAAAGCGTGAACGATTGTACTATAGAGCAAAACGGCCAATTGGAAGGAAAAGCAGACCATGGTGTCTGGACACTCACTGTAGGCGCAAGAGCACAAGAATACATCATAAACTGAGAATGCAGTTGACGAGTTTCGTCCATCGACTTGATATCTGATGCATAGATTCCTCTAGCATTTAGGTCGACAGCTCGAACCAGGGACCGACGTATTCTGTGCAGTTATCTTGAGGAATGTCTTTGTGCCTAATTGTTAACCTCCTCATAGGGGGTGACTTAGTACCCCAATATAAAAGAGATTTATGAAGGTTTCAGATACCGGCCAACGTTAGTGGCGGGTTGGTGTACAAACTATATACTGAACAAGAACGTAAAAATCAACTTTTTCGTTCAAAATCAACTGTTCACAATGAGTTCGGTTGGAGTTGTTAGGCTGTAGAAGCTCGCCTTACCCAATGCTCAATAAGGCAAACTATGTCTCATTTAGGGCCAGTTTTCCTACCGTCAGCTGTGTATAATGCAGATTGGTTGTAGTTGGCACGCTGCTTGGGTATCGAGTTTTGAAGATAAGGGATTGTGAGATGAGATTGAAAACCGAACGAATGGCGGATACAGAGCTGATACAATAGCGCCGTCGGCCATGTAACCCCACCAAATCAATGAAGGTATCAAGCCAGTAATACGGCGAGTCCTTGAGACATCGGTTTCGCGTAAGGCGTAGACAAGGCTCACTGATAACTGTTCTGTTTCTTGGCTGAGCCATGAGTTAGTTGTATTGTGTCTTGTCCCAACTAGAGCAAACCTCGGCAAACAGGGCGACACAAGGCAGAAGATTCCCCGGCTTACAGGGAACATAAACGAGCTAGCGTACTGGTTCAGTGGTACCACAGACTCAAGTGTGAGTGGTATCTGACTGATGGGCAGTGCTTCGAAAGCACTAAGCACTAAGTGTAGCCGGCCCCCATGTCCTCAATGGCCATTGCCACTATGTCACAGCCACAAAGCAAACCTACAGGAAGCATTCTGAAGTAAACACACCCGCGATCTAAAATGAAGGACAACACGAACGTCACTGACATCGACTATACACCATTTCTTACAGTCTACAGCTAATTACAAGGTATCACGAGGACCCAATTCTGAAGACGGATCATTTCCGATCCATCGAATCTAGTGATTCCTTCCACATCCTTCTGCCAAGTCGCACGTTGACCAGCTCAAGGTCTGCATCATTCTTAAGGCGGTGTGGAGAATAACACGAGTCGTGGTGGACAATGTTTCGGCATGCGTAGCATTTGATCGACTTCAGCGGTGCTGGGTGTCTTTCGCAACTGATGTACCCACTGCAAAACCAAATACCTGTTTTCTAACTAACCAGTTACGAATTCGTTGAAATCACTTGATATCAGCACGGATTCTGAGAAACCGGTGGTCATAAACCCGAAAAAATGTCACGTCGCCTGCCCACAGATGCCATGCTTGATAAACATACAAAAATATAGCTCTCTCTGAAGCCCGGCAAACACCACAACCGAGACCAAAATAGTATGCCTTGTTGATGCCACAAATGAGGAGGGTTGTCCCGGTCTTTGGGATTCGCTCACTGACTTCATTAGGTACGCTCCAGTAGGAGTTATTACAACTATCAAGGTACACAAAACTATCCAAAGCCTCTAGTGCCTCTTCTTGTATTGCAAGAGGTCGGCTAAGAGTCTGCACACTCTGACAAAACCTTGCACTTTGTGGAGACAAGCCGGAGAACGGCGCTCGTTTAAATTAACAGTGTTTGCCTCTGCTGCCACCACACCGCGATAAGATCAAGTCTCTTTGCAACTGGACTGCGTTAGAACATGTAGATAATTGTCCAAACCAGAGTGACGTGAGTTCAAAACGTTTACGTTGTGCTGGGATAAGCACCTTAGAAAGTCTCCGACGCGGGATTATTCGCTTAACTAACAAAGACACAAAAGTATTAGACGGAGCGTTAAGGGCAGATCGTATTCTAGGTCAGCAATAGGTGTAACAAGTAAAAAGCACCGCTAATACGCACTTGGATTTAAGCTCACTGTTTTTTATGTGCTTCTTCGATTTCAAATGAGCTTCGAAGGATTTGTTGTTCGCAAACGGAGTTTTACAAACTTCACAGTAAGTTTTCTGCAATAAAGGAAGGCTGTGTGAAATTTCAAGTGAACTTTACCCTGACCGGGTCCACGGACGACGCTTCCGAGAACAACTGCTTTTTCTGTGCAAAAAGCTCCTCGGAGATCGGCGGTAAGTTGGCGATAAGACGTTTCAGATTGTACACATGCCACTCACTGTGTACATGGTTCCTGCGATCGTCCTCCGAAACATCCACATTGCACGTTGAACAGAGACCCATGATAAATGATACAGGTCACTTGAAATGAAGCTGGAAGATAGAAGATAACGATAGCTTCAATACTCAGAAGATGAACGCAATACTGATCTGAGTCTCCAACCGTAGACCAGTACCAAAGAAGGAAGGTTCGCCACAGGTTTGCATACTGATCATAGTCAGAAATTAGCTCGACAGGGAAGTACTCCAGTCAATGGAGACACATTCCGACTTCACAGTTCGCAGATAATAGTCTATTTGGTGCGATTTAATTCTCTCCGATAATCCAAACGTGTCTGGGACAATGGAACCAGATCAGAGTGATTTATGCATCAGAAACACTAAGGGTCACGAAGTCTGTCAGACCTACCATATCAGCATGACAGAAACTGGCCCAATGCTCAAATTCATCCCTCTTGTGAATCGAGGCAGGGACGTTGGCAGGTGTGATAAGTACATTCTGCTTTGCGAGCAGCATCGATTCCTTCACCAGACTTTTTTGAAATGACTGTCGGCTTTTCTCTCACGTAACGGCATTTAGTTGAATTTGTTTTTTGGCTAAAGAAGTGCAATGGTTCCAACTGCTACAACTTTGTTTATCGGGGATAAGAGGGAAAGTAGAGCCATCTGTTCGAGTCGATCCGCTTATTGACATCAAATGGTTCTCTGTTCGGTATGCAGTAAATGCGACAGCCTTGATGCAAGGTTGCCACCGGCTGCGTGACAATTATATCTTTCAGCGTCACTAGTCGTTGGTGCCTCACGCCAGGACCCCATCCGGGGGAACCGCGGTTACCAACGCGACTGGGTTTATTAGTAGACTTCCATTCTTCGTTGCCAATTCATGACCTGACCCATCCTGTGTCACCTCAATCCGATACGCAACTGGGGGAAAGCAAACGACCTGACATGCAGACATGGCCCAATCAGCGTAACGAGTGGACGACCAGCTGATATATCGGAGAAGGATGGACTCTTCCGAAAAGAATTTGGCCTACTTTGGCATTATTGATATGCTGTTCCTACTTGACCCGCGCGATGCTTTGGCGATACCGATGGCCAACCACACGGCCTTTGGAGATCTGTTCGCAGCGGTCGTCTCTGATCTATGAAGTAGGTCAGACCAAACTACAGCATTGTACACTTCACCTTTGACAGCCAAGACGTAGGCAGTTCGGCGCGACAAACGTCAGAGGTTGGCAAGTGCTACCCGGGCCTTCGGAATCCGGGAAATGATTCCGTCTTTTACCAGTCCGCCGGTACCTACGCAGCTGCCCAGGTGGACGGACCTATCTGGCGCATCGATTAGTTCACCTGAAAGCATGACGTTTGAGTCTTGAAATAATATTTCACAGTAAAGGTGTAAAGCATAAACCGAACAGTGCAGCAGAATTACGTACGTAATCTAAGGCGGTTTCCTTTCTAAAAACCATAATCAGAATCAGAATCATATATTTGGAGCACACGGACCAAGCTTTATTCCAAGAACAGTGCCATTGTCAATGCACTCAATGCCTGAGGGTGGACGCCCCGGGAGTATTCCGGGGTATTACAAGCACGTAAAGAAGACGCAAGCAGGATTCCCAATACAACGTTGAAGAGGAAAGGACGTAGAAGGGACCCTTGTTTGTCATCATTGGATGTGGCGAATAGAGAAGAGTTGTTCGTAGACGCGTACGCGCCCAGGAGACGAGGCATATGGAGTTCTTTCAAGCGACGAAAATCGGCTTCGAACACCGTAAGCAGACACCAACGTAGCTCCAACCATGTCAGATTGAGAAAACCGGTTATCAGAATTGGCCTTCCGATACTTGTCCGAAGGTGACGATGCGGTCGATAAAACTACGGCTAGGAAGAAGCCTAACATGATTTTCGCGAATCTGATTCTCCGATGATGGGTTCGGCTGCTTAGGTTAACAAAAAGAGCACCTTGGAAGTTATCGTGTCCGGATGGCAGCCAACTCTAGTAACAGGGTAGCACGCCAATTGGATGACCTTCTCACATGCAGGCTATCGACCAAACGAAGGCAAGACCCGATTGGTCAGAATGCCAGCCAATCTGGATCGAACATCACGGATTCACGGACTGATACACAGGATCGACGTTTTTGTCCAAATTTTCCTGGTCGGTTTGTTATTGTCGTTCAGCGGCTGTCGTGCACCTCAAATGCACAGGTGAAAAAAGGGTGTAGCGCTGCTCTTTATGTTCTCGGCGTGGGGCAGTAGGTTTGCCGGCGCGAGGAATCGCATAAGTGTCTAATAGTGCTTTACACTGGGTTCTAGAAGAAGCGTGGACAACCGCTGGAGGAAGGTCATTCCACGAACCTACTACCCGGAATGAGAAAAAATTTTGTCCAACGAATATGTGTGCTGTAAGCTTGAAAAATTTCTTACTATGCCCCCGCCGGGTGTTTGCTGGTTCAACGGTAAATTACCTGTTTACCAAGCTTTGTTCAAACAGGGCGCAAGTACGAATTAGGTCCCCTCGGAGGTGACGGTACTCCATGGGGAAGAGATAGAGCATCGCGAGACGCGTTTCGTAGGCCTCGGATTTCAGGCCGACGAACATCCTCGTAGCGGATCGCTGGACACGCTCAATGGAGATGACGCCTTTCGTGCATTCTGAGTGGACAACTTGGTTGGCGTATTCCAGGAGCGCTCTGATGTAGGCCACATAGAGTATTTGGAAGTCCATGCGAGTAATACGGGAGAGGGTGCGTCAAATCATCCGTAAAATGGCGAATGCCTTCTGGGCCGATTTCTCATGGTGTAGTGAGAAGGACCAGTTTGAGGAGACCCGGATGCTCCAATGCTTTTTGGCATCTATCACCATGATGATTTCTGGTCCTATTCTCACCATGCATTGCAAAGTCATTCGCTGAGTCTCCTCCAAACGACATATGGACGCACTTTTCGTCATTCAGAGGAAGGTGCCAGTCCATCGACCACCGCTTTGCAGAGTCTACATCCATATGGAGTGTACCGGCACTGGAACTCCGGGATTTCAAGTGGTCAGCGAAAAGTAGACATGGAATTGCAAGGACATCTGGTTGGTCGTTGACGTACAGCAGAAACAGCGGTGGTCCAGGGGCGGAGCCCTAAGGAACTCCAATGGAGACTGGCGCTGGAGAAATGTAGGTCGGGCCTATTCTCAAGCGGACTGATCAGTCTGATAGGAACGCCTTGATCCAGTGACGGATTTTACCTTGAATCCCGTGAGGCTCGAGTTTGTGCAGAAGCGGGACGTGTGGGACCCTATCAAATGCTTTTGAGAAGTCGAAATATGCGGCATCCGATGAGAGTCCCTCGTCCTTGGCTTGGGTTAAGCTGTCCATAAACACGAGCATATTTGTCACGCAAGAGCGGTGTGGGAGAAATCCGTGTTGAGCAGGAAATATCAGGTTGCTGGAAGTGAGGTGATCTAGGATAGCCCGCTTCAGAATGTGTTCCATCACCTTGCACGGCACGCTAGTGAGGCTAATAGACCTGTAGCTGCCAGGTGAGGTGATAGTCAAAGTTTTGTGGGTTAGCGTGACATTGGCTTCCTTCCAAGCAGATGGAAGCCGGCCTTCCGTGCGTCCAGTGTCCGATCCGAGACGTCTATCCAGGAGGGCCTCAACAGCGCTTAGTCTACCTATCTGGGCATTCCTGTCGCCAAAAAACAACGTTTTCTGCGTTAAACCCTGCTGTAAAATAGCACCTATTGCGTCATGGAAGTTGTCCTTGGCATATCCAAGGCTATCGTCAATTGGGGCGTAAGGTGACAAAGTAAACAAGGTGAGATAGCTCTCAATTCCTCTAGGTTCTCTCACAGCTTTTGCCAGAAAACTGCCCGGAGGCGACCACCAACGGTTAACCAGTTAAGCAGGGGCGCTTCCGCTCTAAACTGAAATTGCAAGGTCAGGCGTTGCAGAAACGTTTTTTGGATTCTAGCCCATCCATAGATCTTTAACCATTTTCCCTACTAGACAACTATTTTTTACGACGGTCCGCCAGTTAGCTGCAACAACAAAGGCCAACAGGTCTGCCTTGTTCAGTAGGCCTGATCAGTGTTGGTCCTCAGTTCGTCGATCACGTCTAGTCCCGATCTGGATAGTAGTTCCTGTTGACGTGCCGCCACCGTCACACGCCCCCGCAGTCCTATCCAAACTACAGCTCATATAAGTGGGTAAGACTGACCTATGAACCTCGCAATACGACCCAGAGTTTTCCTACTACATTGGAGCTCCCTCGACCTCATTCCTCCAAAGCAATCATTTTTCAACCTGCCCCGAAATAGCTCATCGTGACATCGGCCTCTTCACCCTCTGTTAGTGCTATTTCTTTTCACTCAAAGTAATGTCAGAAAGTGAATAACACTAACAATAAACAGGTATATATAGTGGCTTTGAGAGACACTAGTGCGATTGAATAACGCACAAAAAGGAGATTCATCGAGTTCTCCGGTTGATAAGTTGTACTAGACGATGCTGAGGTTTGTAGGACGCGGTTGTACTAAATGCGGGTCTTGACCGTGCGTGCTGGAATCTGGCCAGTTTATTGTTGTTTAATACAAAACGGTATTGAGCCTAGACTCTTCCCGCACTGTGAGTCGTGTGTAGGTTTAAACTGACTCTTGTCAAGGCGCTGTGTGAAGTGACGAGCGTAAATATATGTTTACGCTATGAGTGAGGATGCACTTGCATTGTTTGTCTTAGGATGAGATTCCGATAATCTTGGCTAGTCGTGGGGCGAATTTTCATGGCATAATCGGAACAGGAGTGAAACAGTTTGTGCATGCGTTAAAAATTATAATGTTTATTCCCAAATTGTGGACGGCATACCATTTGGCATGATCATGCGTTTACAGTCAGAATGGGGCATGACTGAGGGATTTGCGGGTAGTGGGGATAGCAAGAAAAGGGGACAATATCATAAACAGTGGGAAGTACTCGTTTAAATAATAATAGGCTTGTTCCGCAACTTGTAGGGAACAATGGGCATGAGGTCCGACTAATTCCAAGACTCAGTCGGCTGACATGAACTAAAACTGGAAAACCATTGCTGACCATGGGCGACCTTGAGCGGTTGGGTAAACGGCCGGAGTCATAACGAGCAAAAGCGGAGGTTGAGATGGGATAATTCGAATTGGGAGAACACGGCACGTTTAGTCTCAAAAATATGGTGCAATCTGAGAACACGCAGACTCACTGGCTGCACTGTTGTTGGGATTTCAGATGAAGGGGTTAGGTTGGATAGAGACACAGAGGTGGTCGAATTCGAACCAGTAGTCCAACAGGTTGGAATGAATATCATGTTGGTCTTTGGGGTCAGTGAAACTAGTTGGCAAGAGGGCTCGGTTGGGAGGAGGAATGGAACAGTTACGGGTGTGCTATCAAACTGAGTATTGCATTGCCGTGCCCTCATTGGCCTGACATACTATATTTTTTGTGCAGCCCCGTGACGGACGTCGCATTTGAGATGATTCTGCTGGGGTGTGCAGTTCACTGGGCAGCGGTATTCATTTCCGCCTGATCGAGGAAACAAGCTAGTACAAAACCGATATTGGATTTTAGGTTTTCTTGTTCCGCTTGGTGATCCTGGGATTGTAGATCATTGGCCAGGTGGAGTCGGTATCATCTAACCAGGTCGTCCAAAACGGGCACTTCCGAAGTTCAAAGCTTGGGAAGTTGAGAGGATGGAGGAGATTCGCAAAACATAGTGAGTTTGAGGGGATATAAAATGGGATAATGTGCATTAATATACACAGGATGAGGAACTTGACGTCTGCTGCAACTAGGGTGATAAGTGATTATATGGAGTAAGAAACAGACATATTTTTGCCTAGCAGGCTGGCGACCAGGGGTTGAGTTTGCTAGCATACGATATTATATTAATAGTGATCCAGTGAAAGCCGATATAACCGCGCAGGAGCGTGGTATGGGAATCAGTTGTGTAAGGGCTAGCGGGAGTGGACTTCTAAGATAACTGGTTAATTGGGTGTTTATTATATGAGTTGGGTAATACCAGGAGAGAAAACGTGTGTAAGAGAAATAGTCACTAGTCCCCGGGGCACTGCTATCAGCTGTAATCTGTAAATAGTGCATAGCGATGAAGATTTTCGTGTCTACCACTGGGAGCGGCGAGTAGATGTATTCTCTATTTGGATGACGAAATAGGCTTTGGTGCGGTGTAGCCTCTGTCCTGACGAAGACAGATACAACTATTCTCGCCGATATCGGTCATGGGCATTGCACTGTATCTTCGGGCTATCCTAAGAGAACTTTTACTTTTTCGTTTTTTACAAATGAGAGGCCAGTTTTTTCATCTGTGGTTTATGGCATTGCCGGATGCATAACTCAACCAAGGCGGACCCAACACCAGCGGCAACAAACAGAATAGGAAGTTTCTGCCTCGTACATGCTACCAGATCTACAAGGTGGAATGCCATTCAAGCATTTATAAGTGCGGTTTGTACATTACTAAACACTCCAGCTACCGTTTTTTGGTCGGAGGAAAGCAAGGCCAGTAAAGACAGCTCAGTCAGTTCGAACAAGCGAACAGCATACAGAAGCTGGTAGAGGCAAGTCGCGGAAGAGAAGTGAAATGACAGTTGTCAATGAGATGGTGAGAGTGAATGTTGATACTCACGGCGATTGCACCAAGGCCGAACGGCGTCGGAGCGTTGGTGTGGGCTTCCATGTCGAACAGAAGCGTTCCGCGATGTTGTGTGTGAGTGTTCAATGGAAAAAATCATCAAATGTATATAATAATAAGCGCAGAATGCGCCCTGATAATGAAATGAAAAAAATCGACTTTAATTTGGTTTTTATCAGTTAGAGTTAGACTGAGTGCACCAGTTACTAGACAGAGCTGATAGAGTAATCCGGGGTGGGGACTCGACTAGAACGAGGTATAAGTTGACTAGGAAGATAGTAAACAACCAGGTCAGTAACACACCATAATTAGAATTAGCAGGTGATTAAGTCATACAGTGGTTTGGGGAAGAAATAGTTAATTTTGGTTTGGTTTTCGTCATCAGAGTTTGGATGAAACAGTAGACGCTAGACAGTGTATATTGAGTATTCCGGTGTAGGAACTAGACTAGTACGAGGTGTAAGTTGGTACGAGGAGAAAGGGAAAAAAGAAAACAACCAGGCTAGTAACGCTGGATATTTAGATCAAGTAAGCATTGAAGTCCTTTATTAGCTTAAAGCGGGTCAAGAGGATGGGAAGAAATGATAACAGAATGCTTTACTTGCCCACTAACTGAAACGTCGCCGAACTCATATGCGCCTTGGACCAGATTCGTAGAGGAGGTCAGAGGGTAGTCGAGTATTGACTAAGGCGGCAGCAGTTCCACACGTAAGAAATTTGCCTACAGCCTGAGAAAAAGGTTGGTGATGCGTGATGCTTCGCCGCTGCTCAGGAAGGCTGTTCCAGATGCGAGAGTAATAAACTGGAAAAAAGTAGTGATGTAGGTTTTCTACGAGCTGAGGGACGCATTAAGAGGTTGCAGGAGTTGCGGAGTCTGTAGTGAGGTTGTGAGTTTACGCTTGATCCAGCCTTTGCTATAAAGGCGATCTTGTGCAGCAGACGGCGTAAGAGAGCTAGATTCAGTTTCAACCGTCTGAGCCATAGTGATTCGAGGCCTAGGATTTGACAGCGGTAGCGGTAAAAGAGGGGGTGTGACCGAGGAAGGAGCTTTTTCGTAAA